ATACACACATATTATATAATATACACATACACACATTATATAATATACATATATACACATATTATATAATATACACATACACACATTATATAATATACATATACACACATATTATATAATATATACATACACACATTATATAATATACATATACACACATTATATAATATACACATACACACATTATATAATATACACATACACACATTATATAATATACATATACACACATTATATAATATACATACACACATTATATAATATACATATACACACATTGTATATACATACACGCATATTATATAATTAATATACATATATATACACACATTATATAATATACATACACACACACACACACATTAGGCCATTGAAGTTGTCCCACAGTTAACTGATGCTCTGCTCCTTTTTTATTAAAAAAATTTTATTGTGGTAAAACATATATAACATAAAAATTTCCATTTCAATATTTTTAAGTATACAACCAGTGACATTAATTACATTCACAATGTCATACAACCATTACAAATATCTATTTCCAAACTCTTCATCACCACAAACACAAACTCTATCAAGCAATAATTCCCTTTTCTTCCTCCCTCAGTCCCTAGTAACCTCTCATCTATTTTCTATCTCTGTGAATTTGCCTATTTGAGATATTTCTTTTAAGTAGAATCATACAATATTTGTCCTTCTGTGTCAGGCTTTTTTCTCTTGGCATAATATTTTCAAGGTTCATCCATGTTGCAGCATGAATCGGAACTTCCTTTCTGTCGCTGAATGACACTCCATGGCATGTCTAGACCACATTTAGTTAATCTGTTCATCTGTTGATGGGCACTTGGGTTGTTTTCATCTTTTGGCTATTGTGAATAATGTTGCAGTGAACAGGGGTGTAAAATGATCTATTTGAGTCTCTATTTAAATTCTTTTGTTTGTATTCCTAGGAGTAGAATTGCTGGGTCACTTGCTGTGTCAAAGCTATGTTTAGCTTTTGAGGAACACCTGGCAGACTGTTTTCCACAGAGGCTACACCATTCTACATTCCCACCAGCAATGTGCGAGGATTCCAATTCTCCACGTCCTAGCCAACAGTTGTTATTTCGTTTTGTTTTGTTTTCGATTATAGCCATTCTGGTGGGTGTGCGGCGGTATCCCATCGTTGTCTTCATTTGCATTTCACTAATGACTGATGATGTTGAGCATCTTTTCGTGTGCTTATTGGCCAGTTGTGTATCTTTATTGGGGAAATGTCTATTTAAGCTCTTTGCTCATATTTTAATTGAGTTGTCTGTCTTTTTTGTCGTTGAGTTGTAGTTCTTTCTATATTCTGTCTATTAAACTCTTATCAGATATACTTGAAAACATTTTGTCTTATTGTGTAGGTTTTCTTTCTACTTTCTTGATAACATCCCTTAATACATAAAAGTTATAAATTTTGATCAAGTCCAAATTTTGCTCATGCTTTTGGTGTCACGAGATTTTTCAGTCTGGCTGGTGAGAACAGGCACCATTCCCGGGCCCGTGTGAG